CCTGTGTGCCAGCAGTCTGAATGGAGGCATATTCCCCCCTCCGTGCTGAGGTGTTGTAGACAGCGCCTCAGAATAACTGGCTCTTTTCATGGGCTTCGGTTGTGTGCCTTGGAGTCACAACCCCCTCGACATCGAAGCATTTCTGCCTAGTCATTCCCTAAAGTGTCTCTAGCCTCTACGCCTTCAACGTCAACGTCAACCTAGAAGCTCTTCCCTCCCCCCTCCTTTTTCTCGGTGCCGAGGGGGGGAGAGGCTAGGAGACGTGGCCTGGCAGAGGCTGCCTGTCTGAAAGAAACTTTCCCCCTCTCTGCCTTTCTGTCAGTTCTGACCAGAAGCCTGGAAGTGTGGCCTCATGAAGGCCCGTTTTAAACCTTTGAAGGAACCTTTCCCTGCCTGTCCTCAGGTTCACAGTGGAATCTGTGGAGGCATGGGTTCACACAGCCTTGCAATTCTCTGTGTCCCGTTGTGGAAGGTATTATATGTCAGAATAGTATTGTGCCCTTTAGTTGGGGTTGTTTGGACCTCTTCAGCTTCTGTAATGTTAAAGAGTGGCTGAAGTGGGCAGAGTTTCCCCTTCATGTTGTTACCCATGTCCTGAGACAACAGACTACTTCTGCTTAAGTCCTGCTGTGATTTTTGACCACTTACTCTATTAGGAGTGCCTGGATTCCAAAGTCAGAACCAGTTCTCTGCTGAGCTCCGCTCCAAGCCCTATTCCTAAGATCTAGTTTTAAAGGCTGACACACCGCCTTGCTGCAGTCTCTCAGCACCGATACTTAACCCTACAGGGCTTTTCAATGCAGGTGTTATTTCAAGCACAGGCAAGGCTTACTGTTTCCATCTTCATGGAGAACTCAGAATTAATCGCTAAGTATGCTCTGGGAGGCAAGCCTAAGTAGTTTGCCACTCCTCTCAGTTCCATGGTATCCTTCAGAACCGTCAATGAATTGGGGGATTCCTTAGCTCGTGCAAGTCACTCTTATGTGACATCGTTCACAGCAAGACCCAGTGTTATATGTGGATTAAGTGTTGGTCTGGCCATAGGAGACCAGATTCAAATATCCAATTATGTTACAATTTCCTGACCTTGTACCTTCACAGATTTTCATGGTGCCCTACCTTGCAGGGTTCTAGTGAGGAAAAGAAAGAAAGAGAGAGAGAGAGAGAGAAAGAAAGAAAGAAAGAAAGAAAGAAAGAAAGAAAGAAAGAAGTGCTATAATACTCTTTGAGTCTAAGTTACAGAGTAGGATAGACTCGTTACCACTCTTTTTAAAAGACAGCATATGTTTTTCTTCTCAAAACAGCTGCCCTAATAGACAAGGGTCCAACATGCAAACGATAATTTGCTCTTGTTGCATCCTCTGCTACAATCAATGATTGTATTCTTGATTCTATGGGTCATCTATATTATTCCTGTTGGCCTACAGGTCAAATACCACAAATACCGCTTACTCTTTATTTAACCAGTGCAGAGTATTAATGATCTAAAATAAATCCGGATGGGATGCATTTTGTTTTTCTTTCTATACTGCACTTTCCCATTAATTTATAAATCAGTATATATGACCTATATACTATTCTGTTTGAACGTATCTTAATGCACTGTGGCTGACAGCCTATGCTGGTGATCTGCATGATAAATCTGTCCCTTTAATTTGGATCACTCATTACCCTACCCTAGTCCATAAACAAGCAACAAACAGAACAAAACAAAGCATTAAAGTAAATTACCTCCTCACAGAGGCTGTGAATTCTGCTATCCAGTCGGACAACATTTTGGAGGCAATAACAGGCTTGTTGTTGGATCCCTGAGTCACGTTTCTTTCCCGCCTTCACTTAATGTGATGTCTCAGGGTTCTGCATACCTTTTCTCCATGTACGAGAGACCAAGTTCCATCCTTGGCATCTCCTACTGTCAAAGTCTCTGGTGATCAGGATCCTTTCACCTCTGCTGTTTTGTCCACCAAGCTTCCTGCAATTCTGTGTGCACCTATGTCATTTGGTGGGCTTAGATCCTACAATTTGTCCTCCTCTCCTCATGAGGGCTACTGGTCTCCAACTGATTATATCATTCCATTTAATAATAAATGGGGAGGATCTATAACTCAGTGGAAGTGTGTCTGCTTGGCATGCTGAAGGTCCTAGGTTTAATCTCTGGTCCTCTGGTTAACAGTCTGGCAGTAGGTGATGTGAAAGACCTTTCTCTGCCAGACACCTTAAAGAGCTGCTGCCAGTCTGAGTGGACAGTACTGACTTTGATGGACCAATGGTCTGGTCCACTATAAGACTGATTTAAGGTGCTCTGTTGCATTCCCCTCCCCCCAGGGACAGGAAAAACGATATGATTTCAAATGATTCTGTCTTCGGTGCAGCATCTGAAGAGAAGCCTATGATAGTCCCAGACCCGGTAACTCGTAACACACATCTTTTGCTGGGCGGTCTTGTGTCTTGACCGCTCTACTGTTCCCGCAGACAGTACCCCTCTTTTTGAAGAGTGAAGCTTCCAGTGGTAGAATTCCAAAGTTCCCTTTCACTGGGTTTATACTTAGCTGCCTCTCAATGTGCGCAAAGATTAATGTGGCCTATGTAAGGCTCCTATATTAAATTTTCCCTGCTACTTTGACAGGTCTTTATTGATCTTTTTCAAAGCAACATGCCTGAATCCCCCCCCCCAGCCTCTACCCCCCCCCCCCCGCCAGTTTTACTAAGATTGTCAGCTCTGTTCAGCTTCCATTGCTGCATTTCCTGGCATTTTTACACATCTATATGTGACACCATAAACAAAACTGTTGTTTTGATGTGTCTTTTACCCTTCACGGATGCCCAGACTTAGTTTTCTTTCTTTCTGAGACAGACCTAATATGCATCATGCATGTGGTCTCAGCATGGTCCTTTCTCTCATAGCAGTTCTTTTGTCTATGATCTTCTGGAAATAGTGCCATCTCCGATGGCTCCTTTGCTATGTGTGGGAATCTTTCCCAGTAACTCCTGGTGTTCTGCAATATGAATTGTCTTGACATGACTTTATCTTGACATGATGGGCATATTTACTTTGTCTCTGGTTTTAGTCCAAACGCTCCACAGAGTTAAATGAGGCACTGTAATCATGTTTCAACTGATTAGCAGACACCAGTTCCCTGGTATTCTGATTGGAGGTCTGGGCTACTTGGCATGGTCCCACAATATGACGTTCCAGGCCCTGGACTTTATGCTTTATTCCTGACAATAACCCTGTCGTTAAGGAATGCACTTCTAATCCCTGACAAAGACAACCTGTTTTATGCCTTTTTTCTCTCTGCCTATATTGCTGCACAGATTGCTCTGCAGACTACACGTTTTTTTCCTTGTGACGCATTGTGTCCACCCTTTCTTTAGCCACGTCGCACCTATTTTCACTGCCTTCATTACCATCATGCAGATCTGCTTACTCTCACTCCTGCTGACAAATGAATACTTTGATCATCTCCTTTCCTGCATTGTAGCAGTAGCCTCCCACTTTTCTGAGTGGCAATCACCTCTTGCAGTGCCAGACCTTGCACCTCTAAGTGGGGAGGAGAGTCTCTACAGAAACTGCAGCAAGGTTTGGACCCTGCTTCTTGTGCTGTTGAATGTTTTTGACAACTAATTTGGACAAAAAAACCTCACACACACACACTGATTTTTTCCTTGTTGGATTACTAAGCATGCTACAAAAGAGGGGTATAACCCCTTGTTTTATTTTTGGCACGTACATGGTGCCTCATTTATGATAGGATTCTAACTTATACCCTCTCCATGCATGAAATTTCAAAAGGCGATGTCTTGCTGGAATCTCACTCCTCATGGTCAGTGTCCTCACACAACCCATCCTTGTAGGTCGGTTGACGCTATCAAACTGTTTTGAGTGCAGAGCCCTTCATTGCCACTCTATGTATGATGGCGCTTTTCAAAAGAGTGCTCTTTTTTCTCTACCACATTCTCACATGGATTTTGGTGGGGACACTTGCACAGAGCTTACTGCTCCAGTATAAGAGAGTTCTGGGTGAAGGTCAATTTGTGCCGATAAACAACTGTTGATGAGGCGGTCCTCAGTGGTCTCCTTCTGAGAGCTTCACACCCACCTCCTTCACTCAGTGATCTTGCTAATCTTCCCATGTGGGACTGCACAGAAGCCATGACGATGAAAACAAGGTTGCACTTACCTGTAACTGTTGTTCATCAAGTGATCTTCTGTGCAGACACACATCCATCCCTCCTGCCCCACTGTGAACTCTCTGGAACTTTGGTTTTCTAGGGGTCTCCAGCGGCGGCATGGAGAGAACTGAGGGAGTAACGCCCCTCCTCCTGGTCATGTGAGCATTTTGGCAGGAAAGCACCAGAGGGAGGAGGGATGCTCCTAGTCTACTAGAAATCTTTTCTGTGGATGGCCTGTGACTGCGAAGTTTCATGTGTGCCTGCAGAGAAGACCACTCAATGAACAGTTACAGGTAAGTGCAACGTTGTTTTCTAGTAAGGCAGTGGTAAACTTAGGAGCATGCCTCAAAACTCTTCTTCACCTACAGGAATCTTATGTATAAAGTTACCTGCTTAAGAAGCCCTTGAAAGGGCCCATCCCATTAATATTTTATTCAGTTTGTTAACAGGTGTCACATACAACACCTGATCTAACAGAAGGTTTCATACTAACCACTCTTGATGTTGTCTTTGGAACTGACAAAATGTACAACACATGGTACCATCCAATTTTTTTGTCCATCTCTATAACCTACTCTACTTCCAACAACTCCTCTTGGCACATTTAGGCTTCAGCTGTTCACACAATATTGCAATAATGTTTTCATTTTGCTTAACCAACCATTCAAAAGCAAAACCACTGTCTACCTAGACCCCCTTCTCAAGCTGCTCTGCTGCTCACAAGCCATTTCACTTCTATCTATCCACAGCTAGCTTTTCACACCCACTGAACTCTTACTGAAATGTTATGAAACACACACACACGAAACAGAAATAACATCTTTTACCTGTTGTACATTCCCATATATGGCCGCTTCTTCCATGGATGTAATCACGACATATGGATCATTCATGAACTCTTGGGTTAAACATTCCAAGTTTTTGTTCCAATGACTTCCAATAGCAACTATCTGCCGTGGTGCAGATTCCCTCTCTTCAATGCTGAGGTGGTTTTTGTAATACTCTAAAATATTTAACATCTACAGAACAGGAATAATTATGTTATCATTCTGTCAACAGGGCAAAGCTGTAGGTAATTTTATTGCTGGGTGGTGATGAGAGAACCAGAATTGTTAATTTAATCATCTAGTCAGTAGCTTTATTCTAGGGCTAGTTTTGAAGGAACTGGGTCTTTGGTTCATGTAAAGCACAGGGTTTCCTGACTCTGCACCTGCTCTTTCTTCTTTTCACATATATCCCTTTAGTTACCACAATGTCTGTAACAAGGAATCACATTTGAACAATGTATATTTGGGGATAATTAGTATCGGTGTTGATTTTGGTGGGAACACCATCTGGACTTAGAATCATAGAATGTTAGAGTTGGAAGGGATCTTGCAGGTCATCTAGTCCAACCCCCTGCACTCTGCAGGAGCATAGCCAAAAGATAGCCCTACAACATACCCGAAAGATGGTCATCCAGCCTCCGCTTGAAAACATCCAGTGAAGGAGCATCCACCACCTCCCGAGGCAGACTGTTTCACTGCTCAACCAATCTTACAGTTAGGAAGTTTCTCCTGATATTTAGTCAGTAACGACTCCCTTGTAATTTCCACCCATTAGATCTAGTCTTGCAATCCAGAGCGAGAGAGAATAAATCCACTCCATCTTCTACATGACAGCCCTTAAAATACTTGAAGACTGCAATCATATCCCCTCTAAGCCTTCTCTTTCCCAGGCTAAACATACCTAACTCTTTCAGTCTTTCCTCATAAGACACGGATTCAAACCCTCTCACCATCCTAGTCACCCTCTTCTGGACACGCTCGAGCTTGTCAACATCCTTCCTAAAATGTGGTGCCCAGAACTGGGTACAGTACTCCAGGTGAGGCCTGATCATAGCAGAATAGAGCGGAACTACCACCTCCCGTGATCTGGACATAATGCTTCTGTTAATGCATCCTAAGATTGCATTAGCTTTCTTCACAGCCACATCGCACTGCACGCTCATGTTTAGCTTGTGATCAACCAGAACACCCAGATCCCTTTCACATGTGCTGCTGTCAAGTCAAGTCCCTCCCATTCTATATCTGTGCCTTTGATTTTTTTGTACCTAAGTGTAGGACTTTGCACTTTATTTTATTTATTTATTTTATTTTACCTTCAACTTCTACCCCGCTCGAACCCCTCCCATGGGTCTCTGAGCGGCTTACATAGTTTGTATTATCCCTATCTATGGGCACATATATATATATATCATATTAGGGGCGGGACTACCTAACGGCACCCGGTGGGATTCAGTTGACGTGTCTTCAGCTCGTCACGTCTTTCTCGACTTCGGGTCAGCATCTTCCCTCCGCTCTCTTCGGGCTCCTCGGGAGATCTTCTGGAGTTGGCGGGCCCATCCGTCGTGCTGATCGCATCGGCACGGCACTGGCTCCGTCCCTCAGGCTCCGCCGCACCTGCGCCGAGCGTCCTCACCCCTTCCGAGCTCCTCCTTCGCCGCCGGTTCACTGCTAGATGTCACATTTCCTTTTTCTTCCACTCACCGCCTCAACTACCGCCACCATTACATGCCACTCCGCTGCCGCTCGCCGAACTGATGCTGCTGAGGTTCCCACCTCACCTCCCAATGGAGGAGGGTGCTCCCTGCCTTCTAAGGCAGGTACCCATTTATCTACTCGTAAGTTGTTATGACTTTCGAACCGCTCTCTATTGAAATTCATTTTATTTGTCTCAGCCCACTGTTCCAGCCTATCTGGATCATTTTGAATCCTGACTCTGTCTTCTTCAGAGTCTTGAGCCTAGATTTTTCAATAATGGAAGGGGAGGTGTCATTTCTGCCAATTCACCCTTCCTGCTGCTGCTGATCCCCAATTTGTCCCTCATGCCATTCCATAAGGTTTCCTGTCCCCCACGAGCAGCATTTTGGGGAGATAAATGGGCTGCAGCAGGAGGGGAGAGACAGGAAAGATCTGTCCCATTGATGAAAGGCATTTCTGTCAGCCGAAAATTTAGTCTTGATCCAGCCAGATGCAACTTTCCTTAAAATATACTTTGACTGCACATTGGAGCACTTAGACACAATGCTCCCTCTAAGTTGTGGAGTCCTGTGAGCAAAAATTCTGCTTTGTGAGCTACTGGCGTGAAAGTTGTGAGTGAGCCATTTGGCTACTGCATAAATTAGTTTGCTCTGGAGCCATCCTTTCTGGGCTAAGGCAAAAATGTGTGTGCCAGAGGCTAAAAAACCGTGAGCTAACTCACACTAACTCAGCTTAGAGGGAACACTGCTCAAAACCAGATGAACACAACCACACTCACCTGTTCATTGGCTTCAGAAAACAGCACCTCAACCTCATCAAACACAAGATGGCAAAGCTTGAGGAACAGTAAACTGTGGCATTCGAGCAGCCGCAGAACATTATGAGGTGTTGTTATAATGACCTCACCTACAAAGTTGAAAGAAAGACATCAGTACAGGGTAGAGGCTGCCAGGGACAGAAGGAAGGAAAGCCAAAGACAGGTCAAATAAAGGTAGGTTGGCTGGTGGGTGGGTGGGAAGAGAAGGAAGCAGGAAAAGGGGAGAGACTATAGGAAACTTTAGGGAAGGGAAAAAAGAAATAGTTTGGAGGGGGAAATTAGATGCCCCTCTCAAAGTCCTTGCAGCTACCCTGCCTGTTACTCTGTATTTGTGGTAGTGTTTTAAATGCTTGCATATATAATTTTTTTTTCTTTTGCCTGTATTCTATGTGATGGATCACTATGGACAACAACTGGATATGTGCAACTGTCCATTTGTTGGAGTATCGGCAAATTCTGTTCCTGATGTCATGAAAGAGTTGACCTGTTTATCTATGCTAATTGGTAGTTAGTTACGACCTATGGGGTGTCGAGTAGAAGTTCCTGGGCTAGAAGGGGAAGGTCTATGCATAATGAACTCACTTTTAGCCTGGTCATTGGTCAGTTCATAGTTGGGATATGTAATCTGAGATTTTGCACGTAGATATTCTTGGGGCTCTACAATGCTTTGCTTTAGAGTTTAGTGTAGCCAAAGTCTCCATCTTGGACCTGACATCAGCTAGAAAGATGTAGCTTAGTCAGCTAGACAGTTTATTGTTTTTATTTCTCCATGTAACCCTCCCTAATACTTTAGTAAATTTTCTTTTTAGCTAATTTACACATGTGCGCTGTGTTATTATTTTTATGTGCCAACACCATTCTACATGGACTTTAAAAAAAAAATCACAGTAACCATTTGATCATACAATTGGGTGCCATCAAAACAATACACTAACACTATTGTGTTAGGGCAACCAGTTTGTAAGATTTCTGCCCAGATTAATTTGTCTTGTACTTCTATAAACGAAAAAAAACCACACTCCAAAATGGTACGTTAATGGCACATATGCTGTACCAACCAGATTCTAATCATTTGGAAAGTTTTGGCTAGAATGAGGAAGCAGATGTGGTTGAGGCATATAAAAACAAGGTTGTTAGATACAATATGAAGAACAACAAAGAATCCCCCCCCCCCTTTTCAGACTTACTACACTGTTTAAAAAACGGAATCCTAAAAGTTATGCCCTTCTAAACCAATTGACTTCAGTGGATTTAGAAGACTACAACTCATTTTAGGATTGCACTGTATATAACATAATCCAATACTGTCAAGTTAGATAATGTGGAAGCAAAAGGTTTTCATAGGATTTTGCCTTGTAGCACCCAGACTCTATTGCACTTACTTAGCCACACTTGTGATAGGCTGTTTAATATTTTCTATATTCATGATTGTGTTTTAGGTTTGCTAAAACCTAGGTTTAGATATTTATTTATTCAAATTCATTCATGTTTTTTAACAATCAAGTTGTCCTTACATCCTCTTGGAAGTCTCATGCTCTTGATTTCTTCTTTGTTCAATCCCAGTAAAAGCAATTGGGGGTGAAGAGGCCTAGAACAACGGGTGTAGATTTCTAGTAACTCAAATACTTGTTCAGCTTTCTTCCATCCAGGGCATATGATTAATGCTACTGGCTATAATACAGAAACACACCTCAATCCATACAGTTAAAATCAGAAACACTTTGTGAATCAGGACAAATTTATTTTAAGAAAAATTACAGAAGCCACTGTTCAGAGTATAGATCTTTGACTATTTGTATTAAAGCCCTTTGGGGGAAAATGGCTTCTACCATGGTTTAGTCATTTTTCATCAAGCTCTTCAGGAGCTGCTTTTCTGCTGCCACCTCTGCCTTGAACATTCTTATACATATTTTTGTTTGGTTTCATGAAATTAGAGAAGTATCTCTACAGATAACTTTGGGCCCTTTCCTTTACTCTCAGGTCTCTCTTTAGACCTGTATTGCTAAGGACAGATTTTACATCTGTGGCATAACCTAAGCACAGTGTGAGTTGAAAATGTTCATGTAAAAACAATCAGATGTTTTTATATGACCAAAACTGATGGCTTGACACAAAACAGGCCACTGAGAGCCAAAAAGCATCCCCTTCACACAAGTGAGTTAAGAAGATTACTTTACCTAACAATTTTTCTTCAAAATTTTTGGACAGTCATACAGCCCAACATATTCCCAACTTTTCTAAGGTAAATCTCTATATCTTGACCATAGAACTTTTAAAAGCAGCTTCTTGTAGGACCCAATCTTCTAGTTTTATTGGAAAAAAAGATTGTTTTTCCTCACAGACTAATAAGCAACGGCTTACACGTTCTAGGAATGCTGGCCGAACCAATACCATGCATTCACATTCATTCCACCCAAGGCTGATCCTGCTTAAAACACAGAATTTCTCTCTCTAAATAAACAAGCACAGAAAGTCACTTGCATCACTGGTTTTAACTCACCCTGTACTTCCTCAGGACTCTGCTGAAACACAGGAGCTGTCTCAACATAAACTGAATGTTCTACTTACACCATTCCTAGCCGGCAGTGACACATAGCAACTTCTTGATTGCAAGAATGTAATGAGTGGTGGAAGATACACAAGAGGATCATTTTCAGGAGAGATGATAACTGAATCACACCCACGAGCTATCGGTGGCCAGGAATACGACTGTATATGATTAGGACCTAAGACATGATCTCGAAGAAGCTCCTACCCAAACATAAAAAAATATTAATCATGTACACATTTGCTTATAAGAAAACATTTAAGATTAGGATTGTGATCCAAAGAAGCTGTGCTGTGACTACAGCCAAAAAGTATCCCAGTTAAGCAGCATTTTAAGTGACTGCCAAAGAAACCTCCACCTCCAGTTTTGTATATATGCATACAGCTTCACTGGGCCACAACCCCACATCTTTTTGTAACATCTTCAGTGCAGGTAGGCTGGGTCTTCAACATTTCATTCCTGGAAAAAAATGATACATTTCTTATTAAAGGCAAAAGAGAAAACAAGCAGCAGCAGGGACCATGTGTCAACAAGATCAACCACAACCCTCTGCCAAGTTAGGAGACATGTAGACCCCAATAAAATCAATGGGATATGGGCATAAACTGATACAGGTTTGCAGCTATTGCCAAAAATATGATTGCCCCTGACATTTGGTGGTTAAAAAATGGCAGAGGGCCTCAACACTGTGCCACATCATATTCTGAATGCATTACTTATGCCTATCTAAGAACTATTAAGGGAAAGAAAGTATCAAGAGATAGCCAGCTGTAGAATACACAGAGCTGAATGGGGGTGGAGGGTTGTTCTCTCATTCCTCCTACTGTATAATTTGCCCTACAGGATGAATGGGGCCAGTAGCCTTCAGTGAGATATCCTCTCCTCCATTGGGGAGAAAGGATTTGAATTTCATTCTCCAACCCCCCTTTCAGCATAGGCCACTGGATTACAATGAACTACAATACACAAGGTTACAATCAAACCAAAATCCCCTTATTTGGGACACTGTACTTGAAGATTGTGGCATCACAGCTCCATATAACTATGATATGAATACTGATACAAAAACCAAGTCCTTCCGTTTAAGTCTGCTTGATTATTTTTTTAGGGCACATGAACATATGAAGCTGCCTTATACTGTCAAGACCATTGGTCCATCTAGCTCAGGACTATCTATTTTGACCGGCAGCAGCTCTCCAGAGGTTCTGGCTGAGGTCATTCCTAGTCCCACTAAACAAAATTTTAAACTGGAGATACTGGGATTGAATCTGGAACTTTCTGTGTATGAAGTATGCAGTCTGCCACGGAGCTATGACAGTTGTCCACAAGCAAGGAATTTGGTCACTTACGCAACCTAATATGTGGTATAACAAATTATTTACCTTTCTCAGTCCAGGAAAG